TGTATATATATATACATAGCAAGATAACCTTAGCCATGTTTAACTAACATTGGCGTAAGTTCCAAAAATATTAGCTTAGGCGCTAACATGCTAACAATATTAGCTTAGGTGCTAACAATATTAGCTTGGGTGCTAACTCTACATTGTTATATATAAGATATAAGTAATTCCAAGTAATTGTACATTTTTTAACATTGTTTTCCTGTTTTTTGAATTTTTTTTATTCATACGTATGAAAAATCAAGGTGCCTGTTTGTTATTGCGTTAGCGTCAGGTTTATACATTTATGTATATAGCAAGATAGCCTTAGCCATGTTTAACTAACGTTGGCATTAGTTCCCGAGCTAAAAAAAATTAGCTTGGGCGCTAACAATATTAGCTTAGGTGCTAACTCTATATTGTTGAATATAAGATATAAGAAGTTCCAAGTAACTCTACATTTGTTACACACTATTTTCCTGTTTTTTATTCATAAATATGAAAAATCAAGGCGACTGTTGGCTATTGCTTTAGTGTCAAGCTAATACATACAGTATATGTATATAGCAAGATAGCCTTAGCCATGTTTAACTAACGTTGGCGATAGTTCCCGAGCTAACAATATTAGCTTGGCTACCAACCCTAAAATGTTATATATAAGATATAAGAAGTTCCAAGTACTTGTACATTTTTTACACATTATTTTCTTGTTTTTGAGGTTTTTTTATTCATAAATATGAAAAATCAAGGCGTCTGTTAGCGATTGTATTAGCGTCAAGCCAATACATATATGTATATAGCAAGATAGCGTTAGCCATTTTCCTATTTTTTTAGTTTTTTATTCATAGGTATGAAAAATCAAGGCATGTTAGCTATTGTGTTAGCGTCAAGCTAATACAGTACATACAGTATACATTGTGTATATAGCAAGATAGCGTTAGCCATTATTTTCCTGTTTTTTGAGGTTCTTTATTCATAAGTATGAAAAATCAAGGTAACACAAATCGCTTTTAGTGAAACGTTGCAACTGTTTTCCTTGTTTTCTCGCAGCAATGTAATGACGTCGGCCTCATGGCGTACCTAGGCACCATCACCAAGACCTGCAATAGTATGAACCAGTTCATCAACAAGTTCAACGTCCTGTACGACAGACAGGGCATCGGCCGGAGGATGAGAGGACTTTTCTTTTGAGCGGACAGGAAGCTGAAGCAGAGGCAAACACACAAACTGCAGTTTTTTCCCCTTTTTTTTCCCCTATTCTCTATTTTTTGGGTTTGGTTGTATTTTGATCAGCTTGATAAAAAAACCTTTTAAGGTAACTGCAGCCTTTCAACACCAATTTACCATTTTCAGCCACGAGTGTATCTGAATGCACTTAATGACATAAATCAATAGGCGATCCATACAAACTCCACCAACTCTCTGGGTTTGCACAGCAGTGAGCACACTGTAAAATGGACGTTCTCTTATTTTACCCGGTTTGTTTTATTGTTTCATGTTTCTGTGTAATAAATGGCCTGTTTTTTTTTATGGCGCTTTGTGTCTTCTTTGTGCGCAAAAATAGTTCCTGACGCACACGTGATAGCAATTACACAGAACTGTCAGAGCTGCACTTTTAAATGAGCTCGTAAACATTTTTGCTTGGTGGGGTTTCTTGTCAGGAGCTGTTTGTTGTTAATGCATCTTTTTTTATTTTTTTGAAGTCTTGTTCCTGCTGTTTAATAGCCTGTAGAGGCTTCAGGCAGACGTGCGTATGTGGCAGGAAGAGGAAGTATAGAGAGCAGCTCCAGAGTCTAATGTATATAATGAGTCAGCATTTATTTGAGTCTTAAATGTACAGCAGAAGCAGACGTAATGATCTCCAGCCTGTGAGTTGGCACTTTGAGAGTCTTATTTTGAAAACTGCCATGTGGCATTGGAATCAGCCACTTCGTTTTTGTTTATTTTGCACCTTTTTTATAGTATTTCAAATCAAATCAAACAGGAACAGATTTCACTCTTTATTCTCATGAGTCAATAAATCAAGTGTGGACTGAAGTTAATTGTTTTTACAGATTTTTATTCACAACTGCTTTCATTACAGTGACTTTAAGCAGCCAGGGTGGATGTTTTCAGTCAGCGGTAGTTTAAATACAGACATTTTACATCATTTGCTCCCCTCTGCAGGATCGTCAGCGGCCGGCTGGGGGTACTGGAACCGGACCGGGTCGTACAGCTCGTCCCTGAGGTCGTACACGTGAGGGTAGTAGTAAGAATGAGGGTAGATGCTCAGCTTCTTGGGTGCAGGAGGTGTTGGTTCCTCCTCTTCATCCTCCTCTAGYGGAGGAGGTGGTGGGGGCGGTGGGGCCATGATCTTTCCCTTCACGGGCCGGGGCGGGTTGTCGATCAGGCAGTCGGGGTCCCAGTAAGGGTCGCAGTCGTACTCCATGCCCTTGAAGGTGCGGATGGGGGCCGGGGGGGACTTCATGACCAGGACCGGCGGAGGCGGGGCGGATTTCTTCGGCGGGGGGCCCTTGAAGGCTTCCACGGGAGCAGGGGGCGGGGCCCTCTGAGGGGCGCAGTGGGGGTGGTAGCGCGGGTCGCAGAGCACAGGAACGGCGCCGGTGGGCAGGTACACGATGTGCGGCTTGCAGAGGGGGTCCTTGTTGTTGCACAGGAAGAGCACGTCYGCCTGGGAAATGGCCGGGGCGGGAGGAAGAGGAGGAGGGGTCGCTGGAGGGTCCGTGCCCACGGGGACCCCCTTCATCGGAGGTGGAGGGTGGGGAGCCACTTTGCACCTCTTGTCTGTGGTGGGATCGCACATGATCATCGGCACGCCCAGTTTGCTCTGGAAGTAGGAGGCGTTTGGGCCGTAGGCCTGCTCCAGGTACCGCATCTGCTGGTAGAGCATCCTCAGCCTGTCGATCTCATAGAGCTGAGGTGGAAACAGAAGAACACATTTAAATATCTTACCTCCAATAGAACCATCATCTTAAACTATAAATCATAAAACAGAAAGATTTTTACATTAAATAAAGAATTTGTGACCAAGTAGTGAAAACCCAAGCTAAAAGCAGGAAAGTTTTTAAAAAACATTGTTTTTTAGCTTTAAAATGTGTGTTTAATTTGTAGTCTGTAAAACAGCGAACATTTGAAAGGCTAAACAAAGTTTGGTGTGAGGAAAACAGACAAAACGTCTCACCCCCTCAGTGTGTCCGATGCTGCTGTAGTATCTGTAGTACGCCTGAAAGTCCGGGCTTCCTCGGTACCACTTGGGGTCGGCGTTACGCCTCGGTCTGGAGCGAGACAGGAAGTCGTTGGCTTTCTCTGAGTTGATGCTCACGGGGACCATCTCTGCTGGACGAAACAAATAAATGAAGCTCAATTCTTCAGTGTTTTTAAACTAACAAACAAAAAATATATATATTTGAGTTGATAAAAGTGATTTGCACATACCCTCCTG